ATCTAACAAGAAGATCTAACAATTGTATATATCTATGCCCCTACCATGGGAGCAGCCAATTATATAAGGCAATTAATAACAAAAGCAAAGAAACACATCGACAACAATACAATAATAGTGGGCAGTTGAAAACCCCCCTCACGGAAATGGACAGATCATCTAAGCAAAAGATCAAGGGAAATAAAGACTTTAAATGACACACTGGACCAAATGGACTTCACAGACATATTCAGAACATTCCATCCCAAAGCAACAGAATACACATTCTTCTCCAGGGCCCATGGAAGTTTCTCCAGAATAGATCACATCCTAGGTCACAAATCAGGTCTCAACCAGTACCAAAATATTGGGATCATTCCCTGTATATTCTCAGATCACAATGCTTTGAAACTAAACTCAATCACAAGAGGAAAGTCAGAAAGAAATCAAATACAAGGAGGCTAAAGAACACCCTACTAAAGAATGAATGGGTCAACCAGGAAATTAAAGAAGAATTAAAAAATTCATGGAAACCAATGAAAGTGAAAACAAAACTGTTCAAAATCTTTGGTATGCAGCAAAGGCAGTCCTAAGAGGAAAGTATATAGCAATACAAGCCTTTCTCAAGAAACAAGAAAGGTCTCAAATACACAACCTAATCCTACACCTAAAGGAGCTGGAGAAAGAACAGCAAATAAAGCCTAAACCCAGCAGGAGAAGAGAAATAATAAAGAACAGAGTAGAAATCAATGAAATAGAAACCAAAAGAACAGTAGAACAGATCAACAAAATTAGGAGCTGGTTCTTTGAAAGAATTAACAAGATTGATAAACCCCTGGCCAGACTCATCAAAAAGAAAAGAGAAATGACCCAAATCAGCAAAATCATGAATGAAAGAGGAGAGATCACAACCAACACCAAAGAAATACAAACAATTATAAGACCATATTATGAGCAACTATATGCCAGCAAATTAGATAATCTAGAAGAAATGGATGCATTCCTAGCAATGTATCAACTACCAAAACTGAACCAGGAAGAAACAGAAAACCTGAACAGACCTATAACCACTAAGGAAATTGAAGCAGTCATCAAAAATCTCCCAAGAAACAAAAGCCCAGGGCCAGATGGCTTCCCAGGGGAATTCTACCAAACATTTCAAGAAGAATTAATACCCATCCTTCTGAAATTGTTCCAAAAAATAAAAATGGAAGGAAAACTTCCAAACTCGTTTTATGAGGCCAGCATTACCTTGATCCCCAAACCAGACAAAGACCCCATCAAAAAGGAGAATTACAGACCAATATCCTTGATGAACATGGATGCAAAAATTCTCACCAAGATACTAGCCAATAGGATCCAACAGTACATTAAAAGGATTATTCACCACGACCAAGTGGAATTTATCCCTGGGCTGCAAGGTTGGTTCAACATCTGCAAATAGTCAGTGTGATACAATACATTAATAAAAGAAAGAACAAGAACCATATGATCCTCTCAATAGATGCAGAAAAAGCATTTCACAAAGTACAGCATCCTTTCTTGATCAAAACTCTTCAGAGTATAGGGATAGAGAGTATATACCTCAATATCTTAAAAGCCATCTATGAAAAACCTACAGCAAATATCATTCTCAATGGGGAAAAACTGAGAGCTTTCCCCCTAAGGTCAGGAACATGGCAGGGATGTCCACTATCACCACTGCTATTCAACACAGTATTAGAAGTCCTAGCCACAGCAATCAGACAACAAAAAGAAATCAAAGGCATCCAAATTGGCAAAGAAGAAGTCAAACTCTCACTCTTTGCAGATGATATGATACTTTAGGTGGAAAACCCCAAAGACTCCATCCCAAAATTGCTAGAACTCATACAGGAATTCAGTAAAGTGGCAGGATATAAAATCAATGCACAGAAGTCAGTGGCTTTCCTATACACCAACAACAAGACAGAAGAAAGAGAAATTAAGGAGTCGATCCCATTTACAATTGCACCCAAAACCATAAGATACCTAGGAATAAATCTAAGCAAAGGGGCAAAGTATCTGTACTCAGAAAACTATAAACTACTCATGAAAGAAATTAAGGAAGACACAAAGAAATGGAAAAACGTTCCATGCTCATGGATTGGAAGAACAAATATTGTGAAGATGTCAATGCTACCTAGAGCAATCTACACATTCAGTGCAATCCCCATCAAAATACCATCCACTTTTTTCAAAGAAATGGAACAAATAATTCTAGAATTTGTATGGAACCAGAAAAGACCCCAAATAGCCAGAGGAATGTTGAAAAAGAATAGCAAAGCTGGCGGCATCACAATTCCGGACTTCCAGTTCTATTACAAAGCTGTCATCATCAAGACAGTATGGTACTGGCACAAAAACAGACACATAGATCAATGGAACAGAATAGAGAGCCCAGAAATGGACCCTTAACTCTCTGGTCAACTCATCTTTGACAAAGCAGGAAAGAATGTCCAATGGAAAAAAGACAGTCTCTTCAACAAATGGTGTTGGGAAAATTGGATAGCCACATGCAGAAGAACGAAACTGGACCATTTCCTTACACCACACACAAAAATAGACTCCAAATGGTTGAAAGACTTCAATGTGAGACAGGAGTCCATCAAATCCTAAAGCAGAACACAGGCAGCAACCTCTTCGACCTCAGTCACAGCAACTTCTTCTTAGAAACATCACCAAAGGCAAGGGAAGCAAGGGCAAAAATGAACTATTGGGACTTCATCTAGATAAGAAACTTTTGCACAGCAAAAGAAACAGTCAACAAAACCAAAAGACAACCGACAGAATGGGAAAAGATATTTGCAAATGACATATCAGATAAAGGGCTAGTATCCAAAATCTATAAAGAACTTATCGAACTCAACACCCAAAGAACAAATGATGCAATCAAGAAATGGGCAGAAGACATGAACAGACATTTTTCCAAAGAAGACATCCAAACGGCCAACAGACACATGAAAAAGTGCTCAATATCGCTCAGAATCAGGGAAATCCAAATCAAAACTTCAGTGAGATACTACCTCACACCAGTCAGAATGGCTAAAATTAACAAGTCAGGAAATGACAGATGTTGGTGGGGATGTGGAGAAAGGGGAACCATCCTACACTGTTGGTGGGAATGCAAGCTGGTGCAACCACTCTGGAAAACAGTATGGAGGTTCCTCAAAAAGTTGAAAATAGAGCTACCATACAATCCAGCAATTGCACTACTGGGTATTTACCCCAAAGATACAAATGTAGGGATCTGAAGGGGTATGTGCACCCCGATGTTTATAGCAGCAATGTCCACAATAGCCAAACTGTGGAAAGAGCCAAGATGTCCATCGACAGATGAATGGATAAAGAAGAGGTGGTATATATATATACAATGGAATATTATGCAGCCATCAAAAGGAATGAAATCTTGCCATTTACAACAATGTGGATGGAACTGGAAGGTGTTATGCTGAGCGAAATAAGTCAATCAGAGAAAGACATGTATCATATGACCTCACTGATATGAGGAATTCTTAATCTCAGGAAACAAACTGAGGGTTGCTGGAGTGGTGGGGGCTGGGAGGGTTGGGGTGGCTGGGTGATAGACATTGGGGAGGGTATGTGCTATGGTGAGTGCTCTGAATTGTGTAAGAGTGTTGAAAAAAAAAAGAAGATAGCAGGAAGGGAAGAATGAAGGGGGGTTAATCAGAGGTGGAGACGAACCATGAGAGACTATGGACTCTGAGAAGCAAACTGAAAGTTCTAGAGGGGAGGGGGGTGGGGGGATGGGTTTTGGTAATGGGTATTAAGGAGGGCACGTACTGCATTGAGCACTGGGTGTTATACACAAACAATGAATCATGGAACAATACATCAAAAACTAATGATGTAATGTATGGTGGTTAACGTAACATATTAAAAAAAAAAAAAGTGGAGGTTCATTGCCCTCCCCTGAAAGACAGCCTTGCCAGGTAAAGTATTCTTGGTTGGCAAATTTTTTCTTTCAGCCCTGTGTCTTAGAGATCTCTTTTAAGATTATTTTCTGTGGTGACCTATGATCTTTATGAACTTGAATATTCAAATATCTCCCCAGATTTGGGACATTCCCAGCCATTTTTTCTTTCTATATTAATAAGCATGTGATCCTTAGCCAGCACAGTGGTGAGTCTGCAGTGGCTAAAGGGGCTGGTGGGGTCCTCAGTGGTGCCTCCAGGTTCAGTGGCCAGAAACCACAGCAGGCAACAGTGATGGCCAGAGCTGGTGGTGTGCACAAATGTGGCTGCAGGTGCCAGCTGTAGGTGCCTCTGTGGTAACAGAGGCCATCTGCAGACACATGTAGTGATGGGGCCAGGGCAGGCAGCAAGGGCCAGGGCCAACGGCAGGCACACTGGTAACTGCAGGAGCCCTGGATTTGGTGTGTACTGCCGTGGCTGCTGGGTTTTGTCATGGGCGCATGGCAGTGAAAGCCATCGACAGAGGTCAGGCTGGGAGCATGCAGGTGCAGAGCTGGAAAAGCTAGTTACGGATGAGTGAAGTCATGCAGGTCAGTGACAAAAGACAAGCCCCACAAGCAGCTGTGGGGGGCCCTGCTATCCACAAGTGCCTATGGGATGAAAGCTGGCAAAATCTGCAGGGGTCTGCTGTGGCTGTGCTAGTCCTTGGTTTCTTTAGAAATGAAATCTGCTGGGTTTGTCTGCAAAGCAGGTCGCTGGGGACTGCGGTAGCTGCTATTGGCAGCCCCTGCTTTTTTGCTTGGGTAGGCAAGGTTCTTACCCTGTGAAGAACCATTCACAGTCTCTTGAATAAACTTCCTATATTCTCTTGCTTCTGGGATTTTGTACATACTTTTTTTTTTCACTCCATCCTCTTCCTCAACTAACTCCTAACATTCTCAGAGGTTTTCCCTAAATACCCTAGAGTGGGTTGGGTACCCTGGCTCTGCATATCTGTAGCTTCTTGGGCTTATCCTTATCATAGAACTTATCATGTCATGTGGTAATGACTTTATTTTGTTTTTCTGGTATATTTTACAAATGTATTTTGCTCACTGTTATATCCCCAGCACCTAGGTCAGTGCCTTTCACAAAGAGCAGTCACATAATAAATGCTAATTTGTGTTTATAAATAACACAAATTATAAATAAGTGATATAAGGCTATGTATTAGTTTTTTAGGACTATCCTAACAAATTACCACAAATCTGGTGGCTTAAAACAACAGAAATATATTCTCTCCCAGGTTTGGAGATCAGAGGTTGGAAACCAAGGTGCCAGCAGGGCCATGCTCTCTAGTGAAAAATCCTTTCTTGTCCTTCCAGCATGTTGGAGGCTCCTGGCATTCCTTGGCTTGTGGCAGCAACATTTCATTCTCTAATTCCAGCTTCATGTAAACTTCTTCCCTGTGTCTCTGTGTCTCTTCTTTTCTGTCTCTTATGAGGATACTCATCATTGGATTTAAGTTTCATCCTAATCCAGGATGAGCTCCTCTCAAGATTCTTACCTTAATTACATCTGCAAATACCTTTATTCCAAATAAGGTCACATTCTGAGGTTCTGGATGGACATAATTTTGGAGGTCCTCTATTCAACCCACCACATTCTGCACTGTGGCCTCTGACTTTGTGTCCATTCCCTGTGAAAAGTATATTCCCTCCATCCCCACATCCCCAAAGTTAAGACAACTCATGAAAACATCAACTAAGTCCAAGGTCTTCTATAAATATTATCAGTTCAAAAGGTCCCCGGTTTCATCACCTAAATCATCTGAGTCAGGTATGATTGAGATTCCAGGACCAATGCATCCTATAGCAAAATTCTTCTCCATCTGTGGACTTGTGAACTAGAAGACAAATTATCTACTTCCAAAATACAATAGTGGTACAGCTGTAAGGTAGGCATTCTCTCTCCAAAAGGGAGAAACTGGAAGGAATTAAGGAATCACTGGCCCCAGCAGAGTTCAAAACCCAACAAGGAAAATTCCTTTAGGTTTCAAGACTTGCAAATTGTCCTCTGTGGCTCACGGCTTCCACCTCTGGGCACACAGCTAGCTCCATCACCTCCTGCCCCTCCACAGTAGCCCCATCATCCACTGTGTCCCCAGCAGCTGCTCCTGTACCCTCAGCTCCTGGGCCTGCATCTCCATACTGCAAGCCATTCTTCCTGCTCCTTGAAGAGTAGCACACATTTGCAGTCTTGTAGCTCATTTCCTATTTATTGAATTATGGAAAGCTGACAACCTTTTTTTTTTTCTTTAATTCTGTTCAGTTACTGTTCCTTTCCAGTCCAACCTGGAAGTGTTTCTGTTGGCATTCCCAAAAACCTCATGGTCCTCCCATGTATGTCAAGGGGATCCATTCATTAAACAAGATTCTCCCTGAATAACCCCATCTCGATCCCAGAATTCTTCTGAGATGGCTAATTGGATCCAAGCCACATACCTAATCTCTTCAGCAAAAGGTTGTCCAGCAATACCCTTGGACTTCTCTTCAGAATATTTTTCCTCAACAGTGAATTTCCTAATTTTAGCATCCTTTGCAATCTGGATAGTTTGAGAACCTCTCAAATCATCAAATGCTCGTTCTTTTTTGTTTAACATTTTTTCTCTCAATTTCTTATTCTTCTCTCATTTGACTATAAGCAACAAGGAAAAAACAAGCTGCACCTTTCATACTTTGCTTGGAAATCTCACAAAATATCCAAGTTCATCATTTACAAGTTCTGCTTTCCAACCAACAGTGGAACGCAGTCCATCCAAGTTCTCTGCCACTTGATAAAAACAACTGTTTTTCCTCTAGTTTCAAATATGTGCCTCATTTCCTTCGGAGATCTCACCAGAAACATGTTTAACTTCCGTCTTTCCACCAACAGTCCCTTCAAGGCAGTCTGGGCTTTTTCTATCATGCTTCTCAAAATTCTTCCATTACCTATCACTAATTCTGAAGCCACTTTCACATTTGTAGGAGTTGTGACAGCAGCTGTGCACTGCCCAGGACAAAAAAAAAAAAAAAGGCAAAGCATCATAAGGGTTCTAGCAGAGAAACAACCAATAAGATATATATATCTTGACACTGTGCTGTGGCCTACAGGCAGAATTTCTTCTAGATTTCAGGGAAATCTCAGTTTTGTTCTTAAAGTCTTCTAACTGATTAGATGAAGCCCACCAGATTATCAAAGATAATCTTTAAAATCAACTGATTGTAGATGTTAACCACATCTACAAAATACCTTCATAACACCACCTAAATTAGTGCTAAATTAAATAACTTGAAACTATAGCCAAGCCAAGCTGCCATATAAAACAGGTATGTCATTAGTGAGACAGAAAGTAGCACAGAGTATTAGTTCTCTCTGGCTTGTATGGTCATTTATATGATAATGTAAAGATAATGACTCACAAAATGAATATGCTGGACTGCAAATTTGATAGAAAACATACTTAAAGAGAGCCACATATGGAAACGCATATTTTATGATTTCCTTCATAAAAGAATATAGAGAACCCCACTGAATTATCACTTATTAGTTATTGTTATCACTTTGCACTGCTTCCCCTGGCTGATGAATTAAAAGAAGTGAGGAGCACAGGGTGAAATGAGGGTTCAGCTCCCATTCTGTCCCTCAGTTACTTGAAATGGTGCCCAAATTAAAATGTTACATCCTGTGCATTACTGCCCAGAATACTGCAGCTGAAACATTCCTTTAAATTCAAACACACCACTAGAGAGAGCATTTCCATATGTCTCGAATTATGGTTGGAAGTACTAAATAATAATGGTAGTTGTGGTTACTAGAACATTATCTTAGGACATTTCCTGTGCTGCTTTGTATTTTATTAAGGTGGTTTTGCCTAAGAGTTTTCCTACAAATTATCTGATTTTCACTTGGTTATCATCAATTTAAAATATGGGCTACAGATGTGTTCCTGATATAGTTAAATAAATATTGGCAAGGACTACATAGAAAGAGATTTTGACAATGTTAAGGGAGGCCACTTGTCACACAAGGTAAAGCAGCCAACTTCCCTGACAAAATACCAAACCTGTCACACAGGATAAGCCAGCCAACTTCCCTGACAAAAAAACACAACAGAACAAAACAAGCCCCTTCCTCTGGTGAATTGTCTATAGTTCAGTGCCTGACTTTCAGCTGCATTGGCTCAGAAATTCTACCTCTTCAGTGTCCTGGAGTTGATTTAACTTAAGAAGTTGAGTTAAGCTAATGAAGCTCACAAGAAAACAATTTATAAAGCCAGAATATCAAAGTATTAATTTAAAATAAAACTACACTGAGTGAACTAGATGTGTGCATCCACCTGATTATCCCTTTCTTTGTAGAAAAGCTTCATGGATCTCATAAAATGAGATCAAGGGAAACTGAAAGAATCAAATACTGAATGGACTTAAGGCTTTGCTAAACTAATGCTTCCATTTCTACAGCAGGGATCTACCTGTCAGAAGAACCAAAGGCTTGCATCTGTCTATCTAAACCCCTCTTTTCCAGAAAGAGCTTGAATAACCCATTGGCAATATCAAAATCCAGGGCTCTGCTTCTATGTTACTAAGGCAGCTGACTTTCATGTACAATCTAATTGACATATTCTTCATGTACATTAACTTTTTCAATGTGGTTACAGTCAATAGTCATATTGGCCTGTGAGCCAATCATTTTCTTGAAGATGGGCTAGTAGTTATTATAATGACCCCTTCTGAGCACACGCCCTTCATAGCCTCCTTGAATTTGGGGAGATCATATAACTAGTTCTGACCAATAAATTTCAAGTGGAAGAGTCATGTGTCACTTGTAGATTGGAACATTTAAATGCCAGTGTAAACTCTCCTGAGTTCCCTTTATCTTCCAAGATACCCAACTATAGCTCCAAATAAGATCTGCTCTAGGTCCCAAGAAGAAGAAAATACGAAACACAGGCCCTCAGAGAACTTGTGAAGAACACATATCATGAACAAGAAATAAATAAATAAAAGCCTCTTATTGTTTCACTATGGAGATCTTTAAGCTGTTTTTCACGATAGTGAAATCTGGCCTATTCTAACCAGTAAATTGGCACTACATGTTTTATCTATGATAGCAGGTTATCTCTGATGACAGCTTTATTTCCATTTTTCAAAGTTATTGGCAAGCACCTCACTGTTGTTTATCTCCATTAATCACCTATGATGTCATAAATAAATGAATTCTATGTATGTAGTGTTTATGAAGCAGAATACTTAGCTATCCAACCACAGCTCTGTCTATATACCCTGAACTGTCACAGAAGATAAATTATTTCAAATATTTCCACCTAATCATGCTTGTTAAATAATCTGAAATTTTCAAATCAAGCTTCAGCTTCATTTACCATGTTCTATTGAAAGAACTAAGAAGGGTCTGGGACTATGCCCAATTACTAATTTATTTCTTTGTCTGTTTGGGGGTTGAAAAGATTGGGAAAGTAGTTAGATTAGTTCCTCCTACCTTATATGTGACATAGTTCCCTTCATCTCCAACCATTAGACTTGACCATCAACCTTGATCCTCAAACACTAGGAAAAGTGTCCCAAATCCTGATCATATCAAGATTTATCCTCCAATGAAGGAAAACTCTGTGCATGCAGATAATTAAGAAAGGACACTTTGAGAGTCTCTCTCTCCCTTCTCCTTCCGTTGATGGCACACCACCATCTTCTTCTCCTCTGTGAAAGAAAAAAAAAATGGGGAAGACACTTTGGAAGGAACTTCCAGATCAGAGACTCTAACTTTGCTATAGTTGAATCAAGATATTGCTCTGATCCTTTTTTTTTTCTTTTTTTTCAGAAAAAGTTCAGCTCTCTGGATAGATGAAAGAAGGATATGAGGCATTTTGGATAAAGCACTTAAGACCTATGAGTACTATAGAAGTGTTATTTCTCGTTTTTAGGGACTGTTAACTCGTAAGTCAGAAATGTAATCAAGATATACTTCAGTGTATAATTTTCAGTGTGATTGTATTTGAAGTCATAATCATATAAGGGAAATAAGCATCTCCTTGTAGCTCCTTGCTTTTCTTTGATAAGTTCCTTTGAGGTGACTTACTTACATGCTCCAGAAATTAAGGCTATAAATAACAATCACCGCAGAAGAGAGGACTGCTCGACATAAGGCCTTGGAAACATCACCACCAAGTCACGAAGTCCTTCATCTGTGTCTCTGGTCAGCATCCGGTGAACGTTGGCAGCAGGCAGAAGGCCCATAGCTTATCTCATTACCATGCTGTGGCCTTTAAGAGATGAGTCAAGGGTTATTTTAACCAATTCCTAAGGATTTGTAGACTAAACACTATTCTTTCATGACTATAATAGAAATTTAAGGGTAGAGTGGGCCAAAGATCCAGAAAACCTTGAATTATAAGGGAAATTAAAAATCATCCAGATGGGGCACCTGGATGGCTCAGTTTGTTCAGCCTCCAACTCTTGGTTTTGGCTCAAGTCAGGATCTCGAGGTCATGAGATTGAGCCCCATATTAAGCTCTATGCTCAGCAGGGAGTCTGTTTGAGATCCCCTCTCCCTCCCCCTCCCCCTCTGTCCCTCCCCCCTGCCACTGCTTGCATGTGTGCATACACATGCTCTCTCTCTCTCTCTAAAATAAATCAATATTTTTAAAGATTCTATTTATTTATTTATTTGAGAGAGAGAGACAGCATGAGAGAGAGTGAGCACTAGTTGGTGGTGGGGGAAGGGCAGAGGGAGAGGGAGAAGCAGACACCCCACTGAGCAAGGAGCCTGATGCAGGGCTCAATCCCAGGACCCTGGGATCACGACCTGAGCCAAAGGCAGATGCTTAACTGACTGAGCCACCCAGGCGCCCCAATAAAATCTTTTTTTAAAAAAATCATCCAGACTAGTCTCAGCCAGTGAGAAATCTCCACAGTATCCTTGATAAATAATGTATTAAAGGAATTGTGCTTTCTAAGCAGCTATAATGGCTATCATTTATCGAGTTATTATAAACTAGGGAATGTGTCCTCACCAAAACCCTATGAGAAAAATAATTTTAGTGCCTCCTTTTACATATGAAGGCCTGGAGGATTAGAGGAGCTGAAGAATTGGGGACGGAGCAAGATGGCGGAGGAGTAGGAGACCTGGATTTCGTCTCCTCTCAGGAATTCAGCTGGATAGGGATCAAACCATTCGGAACACCTACAAACTCAACAGGAGATCGAAGAAAAGAAGAGCAACAACTCTCTCATCAGAAAAGCGACCACTTTCTGGAAGGTAGGACGTGCAGAGAAGTGAATCCGAGGCGATATTCGGGAGGATAGACGGCAGGGGAGGGGCCTCCGTAGGCCGCTTCTGGCAGGTGATAGAGCAGTGGAGCACAAAATCGGACCTTTTAAAAGTCTGCTCCACCGAGGGATGTCACTCCGGTGGCTAAGCAGGGGGTGGAACCCTCGTGGGACAGTGTGGTCTCAGGACCCTCGGGGTCACAGAAAGACCGGGGGTGCCTGAGTGTGGCAGAGCTCCCAGGTAACAGCACAGGGAAGCCGGCTGCAGAGGCAGAGCCCAGGCACGGGCTCTTAGCTCGGGGTTGCCATAAACCATGACCGCGGCACAGTCAGGCCCCTGCTCCTCCAGCAGGGACCAAATAAGCGGCAGATCCCGGGAGACTCCCCTTCCTCCCCTGGGAGGAGCCACGCGGGAGTGCACCTCAGGGATCTGCTGGGTTTGGAGACTCCACCCGGGGTCGGGTGCCAGAGATAGAAACACACGGTCACAGGCCGGGTGAGCACGGAGTGCGGCCGGAGACCGCGGAGATGAGAGTGACTGACTGCTTTTCTCTGGGGGCTCACTGAGGAGCGGGCCCGAGTTCTCAGCTCCTCCGAGGCAGAGATTGGGAGGCCGCCATTTTCACTCTCCGCCTCCAAAGCTGTACAGAAAGCTCACAGGGAACAAAAGCTCTGGAGAGCAACCCGAGCAGATTACTTAGCCCGGACTGGGCAAGGTCGGGGCAATTCCGCCTCTGGCAAAGACATTTGGAAACCATGGCAACAGGCCCCTCCCCCAGAAATCAGCGAGAACAGCCAGCCAAGACAAGTTTACCGATCAATGAGAACAGCAGAACTCCAGCGCTAGGGGAATACTACACATAGAATTCATGGCTTTTTTCCATGATTCTTTAGTCTTTCAAAGTTATTTTTTTTAACTGTCTTTTTTTCTTTTTTTGAATTTTTCTTTTTCCCTTTTTCAACCAACATCTTATCAATCCCTTTTTTAAAAAAACATTTTTATTTTTCATTTTTAGAGTCATATTCTATCCCTTCATAGTAGTTACCCATATTTTTGGCATATATATATAAGTTGTTCTCTCTTTAAAATTTTGAGATAGTTTCTTCTAACAGATCAAAATATACCCTAAATCTATAGTATATGGTTTTTTCCTACTCCCCTGCCTGATCACATTCTCTCCCTTTTTTTTTCTTTTTTCTTTTTTTAAATCCTCTTCTTTCTTTTTTCAAACAACTTCTTACCAATTCCTTTTATAAAATTTTTTATAATTTCCATCTTTACAGTCATATTCCATCCCTTTATCATATCAACCCTTATTTTTGTACATATATAAGTTTTTCTTTCTTTAAAATTTTGGGAGGCACTTTCTTAAAACAGACCAAAATACACCCCAAATCTAACATGTGGCACTGATCTATATACCAGCCTGATCATATTTGATCACATTATGGTTTTTTGTTGTTGTTGTTTTGTTTTGTTCTGTTTCTGTTTGTTTTTATCTTTATCTTTTTCTTTTTTTTCTTTTTCTTTTTTCTCTCTTTCCCTTTCTTTTCCCACTGCTTCAGGTCTTTTCTGATTTGTTTAGAGTATATTTTCTGGGGACGTGGTTACTCTGCTAGCATTTTGTTCTCTCATTAATCTATTCTCCTCTGCACAAAATGACAAGACGGAAAAAATCACCTCAACAAAAAGAACAAGAGGTAGTACCGACTGCCAGGGACCTACTCAATACGGACATTAGTACGATGTCGGATCTAGAGTTCAGAATCATCACTTTAAAGATACTAGCTGGGCTTGAGAAAAGCATGGAAGTTATTAGAGAAACCCTTTCTGGAGAAATAAAAGAACTAAAATCTAACCAAGTTGAAATCAAAAAGGCTATTAATGAGGTGCAATCAAATATGGGAGCACTAACTCCTAGGATAAATGAGGCAGAAGGGAGAATTAGTGATATAGAAGACCAAATGATGGAAAATAAAGAAGCTGAGAAAATGAGAGATAAATAACTACTGGATCACGAGGGCAGAATTTGAGAGATAAGTGATACCATAAGACGAAACAACATTAGAATAATTGGGATCCCAGAAGAAGAAGAAAGAGAGAGGGGGGCAGAAGGTATAATGGAGCAAATTATAGCAGAGAACTTCCCTAATTTGGGGAAAGAAACAGGCATCAAAATCCAGGAGGCACAGAGAACCTCCCTCAAAATCAATAAAAATAGGTCAACACCCCGACATCTAATAGTAAAACTTACGAGTCTCAGAGACAAAGAGAAAATCCTGAAAGCAGCTTGGGAGAAGAGATATGTGACCTACAAGGGTAGAAACATTAGATTGGCAACAGACCTATCCACAGAGACCTGGCAGGCCAGAAAGGACTGGCAGGATATATTCAGAGCACTAAACGAGGAAAATACGCAGCAAAGAATACTATATCCAGCTAGGCTGTCATTGAAAATTGAAGGAGAGATAAAAAGCTTCCAGGACACACAAAAACTAAAGGAATTTGCAAACACAAAACCAGCCCTACAAGAAATCTTGAAAGGGGTCCTCTAAGCAAAGAGAGACCCTAAAAGCAACATAGACCAGAAAGGACACAGACAATATACAGTAACAGTCACCTTACAGGCAATACAATGGCACTAAATTCCTATCTTTCAATAGTTACCCTGAATGTAAATGGGCTCAATGCCCCAATCAAAAGACACAGGCTATCAGATTGGATTAAAAAACAAGACCCATCGATATGCTGTCTGCAAGAGACTCATTTTAGACCCAAACACACCCCCAGATTGAAAGTGAGGGGGTGGAAAACCATTTACCATGTTAATGGACACCAAGAGAAAGCTGGGGTGGGAATCCTTATATCAGACAAATTAGATTTTAAACCAAAGACTGTAATAAGAGATGAGGAAGGATACTATATCCTACTTAAAGGGTCTATCCAACAAGAAAATCTAACAATTATAAATATCTATGCCCCTACCATGGGAGCAGCCAATTATATAAGGCAATTAATAACAAAAGCAAAGAAACACATCGACAACAATACAATAATAGTGGGGGATTTTAACATCCCCCTCACTGAAATGGACAGATCGTCTAAGCAAAAGATCAACAAGGAAATAAAGACTTTAAATGACACACTGGACCAAATGGACTTCACAGACATATTCAGAACATTCCATCCCAAAGCAACGGAATACACATTCTTCTCTAGTGCCCATGGAACATTCTCCAGAATAGATCACATCCTAGGTCATAAATCAGGTCTCAACCAGTACCAAAAGATTGGGATCATTCCCTGCCTATTTTCAGACCCCAATGCTTTGAAACTAGAATTCAGTCACAAAAGGAAAGACGGAAAGAACTCAAATACATGGAGGCTAAAGAGCATCCTACTGAAGAATGAATGGGTCAACCAGGAAATTAAAGAAGAATTAAAAAAATTCATGGAAACCAATGAAAATGAAAACACAACTATTCAAAATCTTTGGTATGCAGCAAAGGCAGTCCTAAGAGGAAAGTATATAGCAATACAAGCCTTTCTCAAGAAGCAAGAAAGGTCTCAAGTACACAACCTAACCCTACACCTAAAGGAGCTGGAGAAAGAACAGCAAATAAAGCCTAAACCCAGCAGGAGAAGAGAAATAATAAAGATCAGAGCAGAAATCCATGAAATAGAAACTAAAAGAACAGTAGAACAGATCAACAAAACTAGGAGCTGGCTCTTTGAAAGAATTAACAAGATTGATAAACCCCTGCCCAGACTTATCAAAAAGAGAAATGACCCAAATCAACAAAATCATGAATGAAAGAGGAGAGATCACAACCAACACCAAAGAAATATAAATAGTTATAAGAACATATTATGAGCAACTCTGTGCCAGCAAATTAGATAACCTAGAAGAAATTAATGCATTCCTAGAGATGTATCAACTACCAAAACTGAACCAGGAAGAAACAGAAAACCTGAACAGACCTATAACCACTA